ATATATTAAATTTATATAAATGATATAAAAAATATAAATAAAACTACCTTTTTCAAAATCAATTTTCCGTTTAGTTGTACTAAAATATAACCTGTAATTATTCCAACAATATATGGACTTATTCTTAACCATGGTGGAAAATATAACTCATCTAAAAGTCTATACTGTTCGTCCAATCTATAATAACAAGAAGAATGCTCTTTTAATTAATCCTTTATAAACAATTTCAACGAAACTTACGTCGGAACAAATTCATAAATGTATGAAGAATAACCAGTGAGAACAATCGAGCTTATTAAAAGTGCACTCAAAATAAACGCAGCCATGTAAAAATATCTGAAATGTATAATTGATATTTAATTCGAAGATATATGCATTGTTATATGACTAAAAGAACTTACGTCGTCGACAAACTTAATAGTGCTATTCCGATCATGAAGAATTGCATATCAGCAGATAGATACCAAGACCAACTCATGCACTTTAAGAGAAAAAAGAATTTAAAGATTTTAGATACGTGCTTTCGGGCTTAATTTTGTGTTAAATCAAATGTATTTATACCATTGTTTTAAAACTAAATAGATTATTTATGTAGAGAAAATTCCTCCACCAATATTTCGAGCAGGTTTCATGCGGCACTTCTTTTATGAAAAATTGCGATGTCTTGTCAAACCAAGTCGAGCTTAATTGCGATATTGCTAATACTGTCATATAAGCCGGAGTCAGTCTAAAAATAATATTTTAAATATGCATAAAAAGACATTGTTAACTTTCCATTAAATACGGCTTTAATTATATATTATCACTGATTTTAAAAAGTTGTCTTTGTCACATTTTTCATTCTATTATAGTAGTATTTTATCGCATTTATTACTGTTTTTTTTTATTGTCAACATAATAAAAAACATACCGTATAAATCTTCTTATTACAAGAACGAAGAATTCATTTATCTTTGCTCTGTAAGTAAATAGTTTTCGATTTTTATCCATTTTATCTTTTATATAAAAATAGGCCAGTAAAAATCCGCTTAAAAAAAAGAAAGTATCGACTGCTATGGGTGCATTGATTAAAATTATATCAGTCATGAATTTCCAACTCCATATTTTATTATCTGCATATCGAAACCAATCTTCGTTGTATAATGAACAGGAATTGAACAACATATTGATTTTCTACATATTACTTTCAAATTACTTACCAGTATATTCTATCATGTAAGCTACTGTATGGCTTATTATTAACCAACATGAACTTAGAAATTTTAAGCCATGAATAATAGGCAGCGTATCGGCATGCAATTTCGTGTTAAATATTATTTTTGTATTTATGAAAATAGAAAAGCATAATAATATTTTTCCAATTCTACTTTTCTTTAAAGACGAAGCCGATTCGATTTCTATTTCCTGAATTAAAGTTTTCCCATCTAAATCACAATTCAATATTTTTAATAGAAAATTAATATATAGAGTAATATAATAGAAATTACAATGTTCTAGTAAATTATCAAAAATCTTGACTCTGAGAATGTTCGTACAAATAATAATAAATGAGTGAATGACTGAACTTAGTAATCAGATAGTGATAAAAATCGGAGATTCTTCTTTAATCACACATTGCAATTACCACAAATTTTTCTAAAAAACGAGATTATAATTAAAAAATTTGAAATATTACTTACTATTGTTAATTCTATGCTTCTTATTTGAATATTTTTGATTTACGAATATATCATATATTGTTCCGATTGTTACCATAAAAATAGAAAGCAGTAAAATAACGCTGTAAATATATAAAATTAATAAATATAAGTACACAAAATATCTCTCTAATGTTTCTACAGATTTAACTACTTTTGAATAAATATTTATTTTTAATGTATGATGCGTATATGTGCGTGTATATGGGGAGGATATGTATTATTTTATATATATTATCAATTGTGTACTTTAAAATTACCAAATGAAAGGTATAGCACCACTAGTGAGCCATTCATTATTTATTAGATTTTTAACCTGGATCAGCTTAAAATCCGCAGAATAAAGGTCACTAATTAGAAAAATTCTATCACGAAATATCCTTTCTAAAATAAAACTTATGTCATTTGTAGAACATGATGCTGGTAAACAGAGACCAAGTGTCATTACATCCTGAAATAAAAAAGAATCTTACAAATTAAAATTAATAAGCGTTTTACACAAATATATAATATTTAATATAAATTATTTTATATTAAACTTGGTATATAATTTCAGTCATCTATTAAATTATTACATTAAGATATATAAACTTACTTCATTAGGCATGTTAATATGGTACTGAAGAGTACTATTGTGTTTAAAATGGGCAGCGAAATAATTTACTTTAAAAGGAGGAATCTCCTTTTGTGGATCACGATACAGCGTGTTATTTAATAAATCCCGCTTTGAAATTTGTAGAGAAGCAGTATTCATCGTATCGAAGCACTGAATATGACTGCCCAGCCAATAATTATTTCCATAAAGAAAACCTGACTGAAATTCACCGCTAGAATCCAACACTTAAAAATAAAGATAGACAAACATTATTTACAAAAATTAGAAAAAAATATTAAATAATATTTCTTATTAATTATTAGTTAATCATTCAATATTTCTAATAATTAAACTGATTTAAAAAAAAAACAGTATTTTAGATTTCATTTCCTATTACTTATAAAAGATATTTCTTATAAAATAAACATCATCATCTAAAATATAACATCAGTTTAAAAAATAATGTCGATTTAATTTCAGTAAAGATTAATTTATAACATCAGATTGAAACGATTGGACGATTAGAAATTAAAAAATTTAAAACGTAAGACTAATTATTTTTTTAATTTTTTGGACTTTAAAATTCAAGTACTTTATTTTAAACATAATTATGATTGTAATTAAGAATTTTTCATACCTCTTAAACTCCAGAGTATTCGTTGATCGACAGCGTCTCGAAAATTTAGTAATTCCTTTTCACATAATGTCGAATTCAGAAAACCCGAAGCTGCTGAAGCAACAGCATAAGCTGGCAAATAGTAATTATAACTATTGTTGTTGTTATTATTCGATTTATGGATTTGTGCGGAGACACAGAGTAAAATGGTGAAGTTTACGCAAGCATATAAAATAAACGTAAGTTGCGACATAATGAGATTTTAGTACATAATAGTCACTTTTATTTTTTTATTACAAATGATGAACTTCGTGCTGTAAGTATTATAAAATCAATTTTGAGATACAGAAGAACAAAGCTGTTTTATTTATATAACAATTTTATAAATTTTCATTCCCCGATATGAGAAAAGGGTCCCGGTAAAAATTAATGAAAATGTATTAATGGAATAATAAAAAAACGAGAATCGAAATTTGTTCAAACTGATCGTTAACATTAATAAAAGAATTCACTTATGCGAACAGTTGCGCAAATCGTTAACACTGATAGATGAATTTCACTCGTACGAAAATAGTTGCACAAAATTTAAAGTTTTAGAAAAGAACGTTCATCTCAGATTTTGACGAGAATTCCGCACGAATGATCAGTGAGATTTAACGAAGGATAGATGAGATATATAAGACGCATTCGAAGAGCGCGCTATTACGTAAGCCGTAAGTGATTGTAGTTGTAAGAGAATGATCAATCACAGCCAAATATTTTCGTATTCGATTTGATTAGTCAATTCCAATCCAGAATGATGGAAAAAGTAGATTTTAAATCGATATTATAATGATGATAGTTAACTGCTTACAATAATGTCAAAGTAAAATAATTTTGGCTTTCTTTTGATATTTTGTGTGTCTTGGAAATGTTGGATGTCGATTGAGCATGACTATTAATAGTTGGTATTCTTTGGTGCATTTTGCATGTATGAAAATTAATAAAAACAGTACATTTTTAGATTCATTTACGAAAGAAATATATTTTAACTATACATGAGTCATCTTTTTGATAATATGTATTGACCGGATCTGTCACAATTATTCATCTATTAACATTCAGGATTATTTGGATCATCGAAATAGCAGTTACATACAATTGCAGACGTCAAGCAATACAAAAATATAAATATTGTTAAAACTTTCTTTAAAATGTTTGTAACAATATTAAAGAAAATTTTTTTTTTAATATTTCCCAATATTTTGTGCTGTATATATGAGTAGATCCATTTTTACATCTCACTTTTATCGATAAATGCGCGCATGTATTTCTAAGATTATTATAGTGTATATGTATAATTCTATGTAAATAGAGTTACGTAGTGATGGTAAAATGTGTAACGTAAACTTTATGTTGAATGTATACATTTATCAATAAAAGAGGAAAAATTTATATGTCGCGCAATATAATAAATATAATAAATATAATAAACTTGAAAAATGATCACTATGTCTTGTTTGCAAATATCAATACGTCGCACGTAATTTCTCAATTGATATTTATATTTTGTTGATCTTTCTCCTACATAATATGATTAATTTTGTTAAATTTATTATTGTTTTTATTGTATTGACTTTTTATACACTGCATCAAAGCAATACGTGAAAGAGATGTGTGTTATTTTCAAATTCATAGAAAATATGAAAAAAATTCAATTGAGCTCATAAACATTTCTTTTATTAATTTTAAATTTGTATTCATACAAGCATTATTTTAAGATATTTTTTTCGGGTCATCTTTTTGACAAAGTAAAAAGATTTCTAAAATATACGAAATAATCTTTTTTAAATTTTCTTTTCAGCAAAGCAAAAAAAAATATCTATAAAGATATATATTTATTAGTTTTATCGAAAAAAAAAATTTTAAAAAGAGAGACTTTCTTTGACATCCTTTTATAAATGTTTTTTTTTGTAAAGCAAAAGGTCAATTAAACGATTTGTTATTATTTACACACTTCTGCTTGAAAAATGACGCTCTTTCACTAGTTATTGATTACTATGAATACCAAATATTGCCGAAGTTTCGGTTCAAAAGAGAAAGTTCGTACGGAATGTGGAAGATCCGGGTTTGAATTATCAAGTCAAGGCAATATTTTTTGCAAAAATTATTTGCAAGTTTAAGATTTTTATTAATCAGAATATTATTTAGTAAAATTTTACATTAAAGAACTTCTTTCCAATGACTTCGATAGTGATAGTCATGAAAGTAAAGCAATCTATATAAAAATTAATAAAATAGTTATTTTACTTGTCTGTCCTCCGTTTCAGGAAAAAGATATTTCATTAATATTTTATATAATTATATAAAATTATATAAGAAATTGACATATTTTATGTATAATTATATAAAATATTATATGTAGGAAAAAGTTCGTGGCGTTTTTCCCTTTTTTTTTCCGGTGATGCTATCCGAGAATTATGATGTAACGGTGTGTTTACCGAGAAACAAACAGGTTCAGTAGGGAAGACACGAAGCAGGTATTAATAGAGTATGTGCTCCAGACGCGAAGCGAATAAATTGCAAATAAATTGGAGCGTGTTGCGTAATAAAGCTGCATTCGGGCACAAGAGAAAAGTTATTAGATTGTTACACAAAAGTGTTATGAAGTAAACTTTTAAATTCTTTAATATTTGACTTAAGAATCATTAGCCTTTAGACTGCCGGGAAAATCACTTTTGTGGCTCTTGAGTTTGAGTTAAAATACCACTACTTTTAGTTTATTTTAAATACTAAATGTATTAAACATATATGTGCCATATATAATAATTTTGCCGTAATTACTAAAGACAATCGAAATAAAAAAAAAATAAAAATTATAAAACATAAAAAATATATATCGAAAAATTTATGAGAAATAAAATATAAAAAAATAAAAAATTATAAAACAAGAAAAAAATAAAAAAAATAAAGAAATTAAATAAAAAAGAAAATCAAAAAGGAGCTACAAACTTTCTACATCCACGTCGTTAGGGTAATGCTAAAGGAAAGTTCTAAGTCTATACGTTTATATTCATTTGTCAATATAAGTCAATATTGCGCTTAGGACTCGAAATTTTATAAATCTATACTCAGAATTGGAAATCAGCAATACCAAAAACCCTCAAAATACACTATTTTTAACATAAACATTTTTTATATTTGATTGTATGTTACTTGCCAGAAAAACCACTTTTGTGGCTCTGCATAAATCTCAAAATTTTGCGCCATGTATATGTTACTTATATAGAAAAATTTTTGAGAAAAAAGAATCATTATTTTAATGAAAAAATGCCGGCAGTCTAAAGGTTAATAAATCATTTATTATTGTCTATATAGCTATCAATAATAATATAATATTATTAATACATGAAAACTCAATTTTTAAAGAATGGCTTAAATCTGAATCTTCCAGAACTTGTAGCACAAAAACTAGCTATAGAAAGAGGTTGGTCCCATAAAGATTGTTCAGAATGATAGAAATTATAACATATTCAAAATTTAGCCACTTCGACAGAAAACCAATTTCCATAAAATTGATATAATGAATGAATATATTTGATTCATATAAATTCTTTCAAATTCTTTAGAAACTTTTTTTGACCGTTATTTTTTTATCGAATTTTTATAACAAAAAAATGTTACCCACTGTATTTCGTTCGACAATACTTTAATTTTTTTATAGAAATTATATATCTTATCATTTCAGCTTGCATTTTACGTTACATGTATAATTATATCCAGTATTAGTTAATAGATAATCCGTTAACACATATGCATACATCTTAATTCACTAAATAGTAAATGTAACATTTATGTATCATTTATGAAAAGAGATTAAGATATTGTTATGTGTTAGAAGAAAATATCGAGGTTAAGTATTCTTTGTTTTATTATGTCGATTTCAAATAAAAATC